CAGCGCCTGGGGAGAGAAGGGGGAGGGGGTCAGGGGCGGGCACCTGTCGGAGGGAGGGGGGCACCTGTCAGACCCCCCCCACACCCCGGCCAGCAGGGGCGGTGGACGGTCACTCTGGGGCGGTGGCCTCCGCTGGGGGGGTGGGGCCCGGATTCCTCTTCCCAGAGAGCCGGGGCTCAACTTCCCGGCCGCGGGGGAGGGGGAGGGGGAGGGCGCAGCCCCCCCCCCCCCGGCCGCCCGCCCGATCCCAGCGCGCTCTCGACCCGCCCCCCCTCCCCCGGGGAGGACCCGGGAGTGCGCGGGCCCCAGGTGCCCCGGCCCCGCCCCCAGCGGTCACCCACCTGTGGCTTCTCCCGGATGCGGCGTGGGATGGGGGAGGAGGGCGGTGGGGTCCCGGGGTCCCGGGCGCAGCGAGCGGATCGTCACCCCCGGACTCGCCTGCGGCCTGGGGTCCTAACGATCCGCCCCCGGGACTGGCCCTGGGCTCACCTGCCGGCGGGACCGCGGTGGCTCTGGACCGCTCAAGGCTCGGCGACAGGCCCGAGCGCAAGCTCCGAGCCCGAGGTGGCAGCGCAGTCGCCCGCTCGGCGGGAAACCGCCCACCCGGCCGTATTCCTCCGAGTGAGGCCGCGCGCTCCGCCCCGCGCCCCCGCCGCAGGGCGGGGCCTCCGGATAGGGGCGGAGCCTCTTTGGAGGGGCGGAGCCTTGGAGGGGCGGTGACCCGGGGGAGTGGCCAGCGCGGGGCTGAAGCTTCAAGTCGGGGGCGGGTAAGGGGGCGGTGCCTCTGATGGGCGGGGCCCAGGGCGGGGGTGGGGCAAACGCGGGGTCGCATGTCTGCATCAGTGGGGACATGGGGGCGGGGCCTAAGATGGTCCTTGCGAGGGGCGGGGCCAACACGGGGCTGAATCAGCGTCGTGGGGCGGGGCCAGCACCTAATTGGGCACAGAGGAGGGACCTCCATCACCTGGCCAGGTGGGCACCGCTTGGGTACCACTTCCTCAGCTTCTGTGAGCATGTTAGATTATTAATGACCGACTCCCTGCCCAGTCTGTCCCACGTTTTGGACCCCAGGCCCCCAAGCCCCTCAGCCTATTGCTGTCCCCAATATGTAGATGAAGGTGAGTGTTGTTCTCTCTATATAAAGATTAAGCCAAAACCTGGGCGCTGAGGCTCATGCTGGTAATCCTAGCTACTCAAGAAGGTAAGATCTGAAAATGGAGGTTCAAAGCCAACCTGGGCAGGAAAGTCTACGATTCTCATCTCCAATTAACCAGCAATAAGCCAGACGTGGACCTGTGGCTCAAGTGGAAAAGTACCCGTCTTGAGCAAATAAAAAGCTAAGGCAAAGCACCCAGGCCTTGATTTTAAATTCCAGTATTAGCATGCACATTGGGGGGGGGGGGAGTGGCGTGAGTGCACGCACACATACAAACTACACCAGAGAAATGTTAAGAGGAAGGAGGGGGCAACCAGCCAAGCCACTCGGGATAGGAGTAAAGCCAAGAGGGACGTGTCCAGGGCTCAGACCCAAGCAGGCCCTCCAGGTAGCCAGACCTTTCCTGCTAGCCCCAGACTTCACTGCTACCTGACCCTCCCCTTCTCTCTTGCCTCAGTTTCCTCTTCCAGAACCCAGATGGCTACTTCCCTGACCAGCCTTAGCTTGACAAGCCAAAAAGATAAGGTATCAACTGGCACCCAGCAGTCATCTGGCGCTTTATTAAATTAATGATTGTCAAGAGCCACCCATATTCCAGAAATGTCCCTAAGTGCCACCGTGACCCATGCTAGAATACTGGCAGGATGAGTGACTGCTTGCCTATCAGCTGAGGAGTGGGTGTGGGACCCAGGTCCTGTCCCCTGATACCTCCACACATCCTGGAAGCCAAGTGGGGTTGGAGGTTGATCATCCAGATAGGAGCAGGAGGCCAGAAGAAGCTGAGATCACCCCTAAGAAGGCCATCTCAGCTGGATTCATTGAGAGGGGTCCCACCCACTTTGGGCCAGAAGCCAACAGGAAAAGTACCATGGAGATCTTGTTCCTATAATGTCCCCAAGGCCTGCTCTGGGCAAATTGAAGGGTCTTCAGTAAATATTTGCCAGACACCAAGCATGGGGGTGCACGCCTGTCATCCTAGTGTGCGGGAGGCAGAGATAGGAGGCTTGGAGTTCAAGGCCAGCCTGGGATCCTGTCTCAAAACAAAGCAAAAAAAAAAAAAAAAAAGTCAGACAATTGTGCAACAACGGTCCTGAGAACCCTTGCTCAGTTCTGCAGTGAACTCCTCCAGGGCTAGGGAAGGGGTTCAGAGCCCCCTGTTTATTGCACAGTTGGGGAGTGACAAGGCCAGGTCTTGAGGATCACAGCCCAGCACTCACGCTAAGTTGGAAGCAGCACCGCTCCTCCCATGTGGGGATCTCAGCTTCCTGAGTAGCTATGATCACAGACATGAGCCACTGGTGCCTAACCAGCATCACTTTGCCAAGCACCCAGCATTTGCAGAGAACCTGCAAGGTCAGTGTGGGCTACCGTTGTTCCCCAGATGTTCTACAGTGTAATCAAGTCTCAGCCATGATCCAGTCCTGGAAAAACTCAGAAGATGACATCACCAACAGGAAGTCCCGCCCCCTACCCCTACCTCCTTCACACCTGGAGAAAGAACCCTGAGATGAAAAGTACCTACTCACCCGTACCCGCCCCATGACAGCTGAGGACGCTGCCACAGAGGCCAGGGAGCCCAGCCCACCCAGCTGGCAGTGGGCAAACACTGAGCAGTCTGGGCTGGCAAGGGTGTGATATCCCCAGGATGCCCAGCCTTCCTGGAGCCTGAGAGGGTGTTGCAGCTGTAATCGCACACTAAGAAAAAGGGGGCACAGGTGGTATTGACTGGCCCTGAGTCGTGCCACCTCATGCTGGGTGGCTTCAGCGCCAGCCCCAAGCTGGGGACTGGCAGGAGGAGCGATTCTCAGATGCCTGGATCCCAGCAGTATCCAACACAAGCTTGGAAAGGTACAGATGGCTGAAAGAGCCAGAACCCAGGGCCCCAGGACCCAAGATCCAGGGCCAGTCCCAAAAAGGCCATGTGTGCTCATGAGGCTCTGGCAGGGATCACTTCTATACTATCTTCTCCATCAGAGCAGGGAAGGTGGCTCCAGGAGCTGGAGGAACAGCCCGTCTGAAAACCCCCAAGTAGGATTCCCCTCATTCCCCTAGGATCCTGCCCACAGCTTCCCTGTAAGCTCCAGGTGTCTACAGATAGCAAGGCCCTTGTTAGAGCCTCACAAAGCCTCCACGGCAGGGGGAGCAGGACATATCTTGCCTAAATTGCACAGACTCTGAACTTGAACTCAGGACTCTCCTACACCCATCCCAAGTCTCCCCCAGGACAGGCTGGGCCAAGGAATGTTGGCTGACTGAATAGCAGAAGGTAAAAAAAGGGGAGTAAGACTGACTCCACTGGAGTCAGAGCTGAGCTTCCAGCTCCCTGTTTGCAACAGTACCTCAGACTTTTCAGCAAAAAGAAAAGCAGGATGGGATTGGGCTGGGCCACAGCGTGATCTTGCTCTCCTCCTCGCCTGCAAAGCAGGGAGAACTTGAGCATCTGAACTTGTACAGGTAATAGCTGTTCTCACCAGGGCACCAGACACCTGGACTTCAGAGTACAGGATGGAGGCAGGGAGCCCAGGTCTCACAGGACCCAGGGCCAAGGGCGAATGAATTTGTGAGCCCATAAAATACATTTAGACCTCTGTCATCAAGAGCTGGTATTTCACGACACTCCTCTGCTCAAGACCCCACTGCCTCCTCTCTATCTTCCCCTCCCTTCCTCATTGGAATGCATGATCTGTTCTTGAGTGTGCTGGGTCCATGTACCACAGGGCCTTTGTACTTGCAGTCTCTTTCGCTGAACTCTACCTCCACTTGGCCTGAAACATCCTCACAGAGGCCCTCCACATGTCCTGGAATATCTGAGTTGTAGGACTTTTGTTTTCATGGTTGTCAGTGCACATTTAGTGGTGATTTGCTCATGAGTACCACAAGGAAAAGTCTGACTGGGCACTTTTGTGTCCCTGTTGTTTACCAGAAGGTGTTCAGGATGCTAAAGGATGTTGGGTGGATTAAAAGATGGACATACGTATAGATGGGTGGATGGATGGGTGGGTGGGTAGATAGATGGAAGGGTGGGTAGATGGCTGAATGGATGGATTGATGGATGGATGGGTATGTTAGTGGGTGGATGTGTGTGTGTGTGTGTGTGTGTGTGTTTGTGTGTGTGTGTGTGTGTATGGATTGATGGATGGATGGATGGGTGGCTGGGCAGATGGGCAGATGTGTGGATGAATGGATGGAAGGGTGCATGGATGGATGGATGGATGGATGGATGGATGGGTGGGTGGGTGGGTGGGTGAGTGGATGGGTCAATGGTTGGAGGGGTCACAATGAGTGCTGTCCCTAAGCTTTTTTACTCAAGGCTGGAGCTCTACCACTTGAGCAATGCCTCCACTTCCAGATTTTTGTTGGTTAATAGGATATTAAAGTCCCATAGACTTTTCTACCTAGGCTAGCTTGAACCATAATCCTCAGCTCTCCATCTCCTGAATAGCAAGGATGACAGGCATGAGTCACCAGCAGCTGGCAGGGGAAGAAAGTGTGGAAGTCTGGGGGGTGGGGGGGAGAGGGGCTACAAGATGTTGGAGATAAGCTAGGTGTCTGTGAGGAGGAGTCAGAACATTGGACAGAAAAGCAGAAACCCAATTTATCTGGCAATAAAAATCAAAGGCATGGTGTCAGGATTCTGGAGGGAAGGCCACTTCCAGGGCTCTCCTCTCACCCCAGATCCCAACCCGCCTTCTCCTCCTCCAGTCGGCCCCTGAGGACAATCGGGGACTCCTGAGCCCCCTCCTTAGCTGCCCTCTCAGGAACCTCATTCTACCCATGGAACCCATCCCCCAGCCCTGCCAGGACCCTGAGTATACAGGTGGCTGGCACTCGGTGTTGGGTCATTCCAGGTTTAATTACAAACAGAGTCCAATGTCCAGGCTGCAGTAACAGCTGGGGGGCAGAGCAGACAGCTGGTGGCACCGCCATGCCCGGCTCCCCTCCTATTCAGAGGGGGGAGGGGAGGGGAAGCGAACCTCACAACTGGCCGCATCAACTCACCTGGATGTCTCCCTGACCTGGTAGGTGAGCCACAAGGCCCCCTCCGCCCTCCCTCCCGTAGGCCAAGGTCAGCACATGCCTTAGATGAAGACCCCAAAGCACCATAATATCTCCCCCCAAAACAATGGTGCACCCAGTGTCTCTGGTAGGAAAATGGGAGCCCAGCTTGGGAAGAAATCCGCGTCCACACAGGCCTGGGACCTTCTGTTTCAGGGGACAACCTGAATCCAGCTGGGGGCCTAGAGGGGGACAGAGAGCCCCCTTCTCTGCCCCATCAGATACCAGAGGCCAGGGCTCCACGCAGAGGCGGTCTGTGCGTGTATCTTCGTTAAAGGCGAGGAGGTCAGTGTCTTTGGTATGAGCACCCTCTCTCCAGCACAGGTGGGGGGGCAGGGCCCTTCCCCGTTTCCAGCCCAGGCAGATGATGGGAGAAAGATTCCCCAAGCTCATGCGAGAAAGGCGAGATGGTGGCAGTTCTGATTCCAGCAGTTCTGGGCTGATGGGGGTCGGAGAGAAAGGCTGAGAGACGTTAAGACTCAACAGGGACAGGAGTCAGGCTGAGGACGGCGACCTGTGGGCTGATGGGAAGATGAGATCAGGGTCACCGTGACCACAGCTACAGATGTGGGTTCAGGTCCCAGCCATACCCCTGCTTCCTGTCAACAAGAAGGCTCCTGGGCCAGAGGCCGCTGGCTCACAACTGTAACCCTAGCTACTCAGGAGGCTCAGATCTGAGAATCCTGATTCCAAGCCAGCCCAGGCAAGGGGGGAGGGGCGGCAGGAGGAGGAGTGTAGGATACCCTTATCTCTAATTAATCACCAAAAAGCCAGACGTTGAGCTGTGGCTTAAATGGTAGAGCACCAGCCTTGAGGGGAAAAAGAGCTAAGCAAAAAAAAAAAAAAATGAGGTCCTGGTTTTTAAACATCAGAAGAAATCTATACATGGGCAAAAGCATGTACCCAGGCTGGCACCCAATACCCACCTGACTCAGGGCTCCCGTGAGACCATGCCGCGCAGGTGCAGCTCGCTCTCTGCAGCTACGATGGGCTGTCCGTTCTGGAGGTGGTAGTCGATGAGGTGACTAATGCTCTCAAACAGGACATCCTTCGTCCGCACCTGTGGGATTGGAGGCCTCAGCATCAGTACCGCCCCACCCCGGAGCTCCTCCCAGAGGGAGGCCTCGGCCCACGGCACTGCTGAGCAAGGCCTGCTCCCACCGCCCTCCACAGGACTAAAGTCAGAGTAGGAGGGCTCCAATTAGCCTCAGATCCAACACCATGGGCCAGGAGGCAAGGGAGCATATGCCTGCAATCCCAACATTCAGAATGCTGAGGCAGGAAGACCACAAGTTCCAGTCCAGCCTAAGCCCCAGAGAGAAACTTTATAAAAAAAAAAAAAAATCTGGGTGCTGGTGGGGCATGCCTGCAACAACCCCAGCTACTCAGGAGTTTGAGACCTGAGGATCGTGGTTTGAAGCCAGCCTGGGCAGGGAAGGCCATGAGACTCAACAAACTACTCAGAAAAAGCCAGAAGTGGCATGCATTGTGACTCAAGTGGCAGAGCGCCAACCTTGAACAAAAGAATCTCAAGGACAGCGTGCCAAAAGAAAAAGTTGGTAGGCACCCATGGCAAATGTATCTACTCAGGAGACAGATCTGAGGATGGAAGTTTGAAGCCAGCTGGGGCAGGAAAGTCTGTGAGACTCTTATCTCCAATCGACCACTAAAAAGCCAGAAGTTGAGCTGTGGCTCAAGTAGCAGAGCACCAGCCTTGAATGAAAAAAGCTCAGGGACAGTACCTAGGCCCTGAGTTCAAGACACACACACACACACACACACACACACACACACACACACACACACACACACACACACACACACACACACACACACACACACACACACACACCACTAAAAAGCCAGAAGTTGAGCTGTGGCTCAAGTAGCAGAGCACCAGCCTTGAATGAAAAAAGCTCAGGGACAGTACCCAGGCCCTGAGTTCAAGCCACACACACACACACACACACACACACACACACACACACACACACACACACACACACACACACACACACCTCCTTGGAGCTAAGACTGGTGGCTCAGGCCTATAATCCCAGCTACAAGAGGCTGAGATCTGAGAATTAAGGTTCAGAGCCAATCTAGGGAGACAATGTGAGAGACTCTTATCTCCAATTAACTAGCAAAAAAAACTGGAAGTAAAGCTGTGGCTCAATGGTAAAGCACCAGCCTTGAATGAAAAAGCTAAGGGACAGTGCCCAGGTCCTAAATTCAAGCCCCAGTACCAGTACAAAAAGAACTAACAGGGGGGAGGATGGGAAGGGATGGGAAGGGGAAACAAAGGAGGAGGCTTGATAAGAAATGTACTCATTATCTCGCCCAAGTAATTGTAATCCCTCTGTACAGTATTTTCACAATAAAAAAAAAAAAAAGAACCAACAAACCTGAGACTCCATCTCAATCAATGAACTGGAAATGATGGCTCACACCTGTAATCCCAGCTATCCTAGGCCTCAGGTAGAAGGACTGAGGTCTATGGGCAGCCCTAGGCAAAGGCAGACACCCTACCTGACTGAAAAATGCCTGAAGCAAAAAAGGCTGAGGGTGAGGCTCAAGGCAGCATTCCTGCCTAGCTAGCACAGGCTGAGTTCAAATCTCAGTACAAAAAAAAGATCCCAGAGGTGTCAAAATAGACAATGGATACTTTCTCTTTCCTTTTTCTTTAAAAAAAATTTTTTTCCCACTCAGTTTGCTTGCTAGGCTGGTACTCTGCCACTTGAGTCACACCTCCAGCCCTACATTTTGCTGGTTCTTTGGTGATGAGTCTCATGGACTTTCCTGAACCACAGATCCTCCAGATCATAGCCTTCTGAGTAGCTAGGATTACAGACGGGAACCACTGGTGGAGCTGGAGATGTGGCTCAGGTGGTAGAGCGTCAGCCAATGAGAGAAAGCGTCAGACACTGAGTTTGAGTCTGTCTCAGACCAGAAAAAGAAAAAAAAAAGGGAACCACTGGGGCCTGGCCACATTTTAAAGTCAAACATCCAGTGCCATGCATCTGCTGATGAGCGGGGGAAATTCGGAGCTTGGTGAACCTGAAAAGGCCTTAAGATTAGAAATGTTTCTGTAAACCCCAAATGCTCTGCAGACTGAGTACTCCTTTGAACACTGGAAAATACTTTGCAATTCTACGGGAGCTGGAAAATGCTCCCTGGACCCTGGCATTGGGCCCTGGCAGCCTGTCCCCTCCCTGCCCCCCTCCAAGCCACCCCCCATCTTACCACACCCTCAGGGTCCACCAGCAGCAGGTGCTTGGGCTGCCCGGCTTGCATGCCGGTGAGGACATACTGCCCCGGGTTGGTGACACTGTCTCGCACAAGGAAGTCCCCGTCTGCTCGGAGCAGCTTCTCAGCCGCCCTGCGGCTCATGCGGCCGTGGTACCAGGGCTCCTGCCTCAGTTGCTCCTCTGTTGGGGCTATAGGAGCCCGACGGGTCGGGGGGCTGGGCCACTGGTCCTCCAGGGAGAGTGGGGTTGCCGCCACGCCCGACGCCACCGAGCACTCGTGCAACTTCAGGGCATCCTCAAAGGGGCCTGCGGGGGGCGGGGAGGAACAGGAGGGTGGGGGAGGCAGGGGTGTGCAGCCTTGCCCTTGTTAAGCAGGTGCTCTTCCAATTGGGCCCCGCCCACCGGGTGGCTACTACTCCCCCACCATCCCCCATTCTCCACTTGGGGAACACCCTTGTCAGGACGCCATCTGAGAACAAGGTCCATGTAGGACACGCCCACATGCAGCCACACCCACTCTGGAGCCACGCCCACCCGCATGACACGGGGACTAGCCTATGCAGCCCCATGCCCATTAGGGCACGCCCAATGCAGCTCATGCCCACTTCCGTCTGCCTTCCCCTGCCAGCATTTCTTTCCTTGGAAGCTCGCACACATTACGTTTTCTTGTCACCCTGGCCTGCCCACATGTGAGCCTGTCACATGGCTCCTTGCTGTGGCAGGACCTCAGCACACACCATTGTGGCAGGTGACAAGCAGACATTTCCCATCCTAACTTAGTGGAGTGCTCTTTCTGCTCTGAGCTTCCTACAGACTGCCAAAGTGCCAGGGAAATACTGAACGTTGCCCCCCTCCAAGTCACAGGACCTCACCACCCATGGAGGCAGGTGGCACAGATCTGCCATCCAGTCGCCAACCCTTACACTCCTCGGCTACAGCCCTGGCTCACACAGAACCTGACTTCCAACCCCAGGCCACCAACCAAGCCCACAAGCAGCCTAGCCAATCAGCACATGCCATCCTGTCCTCTGGACTAGGGGTTGGTCAATCCTCACACAGATGCTGTCTTCCTGGCTGGGGATTGGCTGAGGAATGACCATGCTGGGGGCAAAGAGCACTGGCTTGGCTAATCCACACACGTGCTGCATCCTCCTGACTGGAGATTGGCTGAGGGACACACACCATCCCCTTACTCAGCCAATGGGAAGCAGTGGCTTGCTTAGGGAATGTCCACACAAGCAGCTCTCTGGGATCCTCCATCAAGGAGAGGATTCAGCCTCCCTCATCAGATAAGGAAGTCAGTAGGGAGGCCTCCCCCATCAGGCTGTGGCCCACAGGAAGTAAGTCTGGGCTCCCCTAGTCTCTTGTGGACTCCCCTCACATATCCCTCCCCCCTACCTTAGGCTGCAGGGGGGTAATAGGACAAACTTACGCATATCAAACAGGTCCTTCTTGGGACTGTCCTCAGGTGGCAAAGAGTCCTCAAGCTCTGGGGCATCCAACCCCTGGGTGTTGACATACAGGTGTTCCTCGTAGTCCCGTGGTCCCCTGGCATCTGCCTGCACATAGCCATCCCCAGGCGGGGCTGGGGAGCGAGGAAGGCCATGGGGTCAGGGACAAGACTCCGGGCAGGGGAGTAGGAACACCAGAACCTTCCTGTGTGGCTCCAAATGGGCAAGATGCAGGAATTTCATGCAAGTCCCCTCTGGAACACCACGATGAGCCCTCTCCCATCAGCACTGAAAATCCACAGGGCCCCCAGCTTGGGACACAAGTGGAGGATGCTCCCAGGTGGGGGCTGGGGGACCCCCCCCCATGTTGACACAGAGAGGGGCAGCTCCAGGCCAGCCATCCGCAGGCGGGAGGCCGGAGGTGCCCGCAGGAAGCGGGCTCAGATGTTTACGTTCAATGCCCACATTTAAGCAGTAACAGCAGCAGCTCTGCCACCCTGTAATTATATTATCAGCGAGGCTTTGTTGGGTCCACCCTCTGTCTGCTCTATTTTAGAACTGACTTGCCTCTCTTCTTTTTAATTCTATTTCTCAATGCATAATGCATCCACATGGTTCAGAAGCCACAAATGCTTCACAAGGACCCTTGAGAGTCTCTCTGTAGGGCCCTTGCCCAGGGGCCCGCGTGACAGGCAGGGGCGCACTGTCCCCTCACCCTCAGGCCCCTGGACCACCAGACTGACTTCTGCTTATCTGATGGGTGAGAAAAGGCATTGGGAGGAATTGAATCTGCAGTTTTTTGTTTTATTTTTTTTTTTGGGTCCCATCGTGGGGCTAGAACTCTGGGCCTGGGCGCTGTCCCTCAGCTCTTAGCTCGCTCTACCACTTGAGCCACAGCACCACTTCCGGCTTTTTTCTTTTTGCTTATGTGGTGCTGAGGAATCGAACCCAGGGCCTCGAGCATGCAAGGCAAGCGCTCTACCACTGAGCCACCTTCTCAGCCCGTTTTTTTTTTTTTTTTTTGGGTCTGGTCGTGGGCCTGAACTCTGGGCCTGGGCGCTGTCCCTCAGCTCTTCAGCTCAAGAGCACTCTACCACTAGAGCCACAGCGCCACTTCCAGCTTTTTCTGCTTATGTGGTGCTGAGGAATTGAACCCAGGGCCTCATGCGTGCAAGGCAAGCGCTCTACCGCTGAGCCACCTTCCCAGACCCAAATCTGCAGTTTTCTATCTTGAGAAGGCTGGAAGTTGGGTGCCAGTGGCTCATACCTGTAATCCTAGCTACTCAGGAGGCTGAGATCTGAAGATCACAGTTTAAGGCCAGCCTTGGTAGAAAAAAAAATCTGTGAGACTCTTATTTATAGTTAACCAGAAAAAAAAATGGAAGTAGAGTTGTGGTTCAAGTAGTAGAGTGCCAGCCTTGAGCAAAAAAAAAACTAAGGGAGGGCTGGGAAGGCGGCTCAATGGTAGAGCGCTCACCTTGCATGCATGAGGCCCTGGGTTCGATTCCTCAGTACCTCATAAGCAAAAAGAAAAAAGCCGGAAGTGGTGCTGTGGCTCAAGTGGTAGAGCGCTAGCCTTGAGCTGAAGAGCTGAGGGACAGCGCCCAGGCCCAGAGTTCTAGCCCCACGACCGGACCCAAAAAAAAAAAAAAAAACTAAGGGAGAGAGCCCAGGCCCTCAGTTCAACTCCAGTACCAGCATAAAGAAAAGGAGGTGGAGGAGGAGGAGAAGGAGCAGCAGGAGGAGGAGGAGGAGGAGGAGGAGGAGGAGGAGGAGGAGGAGGAGAAGGAGGAGGACGAGGAAGAGGAGCAGCAGCAGCAGCAGGAGGAGGAGGAGGAGGAGGAGGGGAAGGAAGGAAGGAAGGAAGGAAGGAAGGAAGGAAGGAAAGGAGTCAGCAGAGCATCTTGGGTATATTCTTCCAGAACCTATTGCTGGGCAGGAAAGTCACAGTCAGAACCCAGCCAGCCCAAGGCCTGTGGTTTTGTCTCTGCTGTGTGGAATTGTATCATTAACCTCCAGGGATGTTGATTCCCACCCCAGCTCTACCACTGACGCAGCAAATTACCCAACATCTCTGTGCCTCTGTAAAACAGGGAGAGCACTTGTTAAATAGTGAGACCCAGCCCTTGTGACCATGCCTATAATCCCGGCACTTGGGAGCCTGAGGCAGGGGAAGCTCAAGTTCCAGGATAGGCAACATAGCCAGACCTAGTCTCAAAAGAAGGAAGAGAGGGCTGGGACTATGACTTAGTGGTAGTGCTTGCCTAGCATGCACGAAGCCCTAGGTTCGATTCCTCAGTACCACATAAACAGAAAAAGCTGGAAGTGGTGCTGTGGCTCAACGTGGTAGAGTGCTAGCCTTGAACAAAAGCTCAGGGACAGTGCCCAGGCCCTGAGTTCAAGCCCCAGGACTGGCCAAAAAAAAAAAAAGAAAGAAAGAAAGAAGGAAGGAAGGAAGGAAGGAAAAGAAGGAAGGAAGGAAGGAAGGAAGGAAAAGAAGGAAGGAAGGAAGGAAGGGAGGGAGGGAGGGAGGGAGGGAGGGAGGGAGGGAAAAAAGGATGGAGGAAGAGAAGAAGAGAGGGAGAGAGGGAGGGAGGACAAGGCATGAGAACAGCAACTAGAATGATCTGGATGGTTGTTGGGAGTAGAGGGGTTCAAACCCAGTCTTGCCATCTTCCAAGAGGAGCTCCTCTTAGAACTATATGGGGAAAGGAAGCAGACTATGGGGCAGACAGGTGCAAGAATTCCCAGATGCTGGAGCTAAGGTTCTGATGTGTTGGCAGGAGTTCTTGGTCAGAGCTATTAGAAGGGGCTGGCTGAGCCTACGTCCCGGTGACACATGATGAGGGGGAGAATCGGCAGTGCCACACGAGACCCCACCAGTGACCACGGCTGGACAGGACACACATCCACAAGTGTCAAAAATCTCCTTGGACACCCGTTTGTTAAACATCAGAAATGAAATATAGACCTGCCCCAGACATGGGCTGGCAGGCTGAGCCTCACATTCTTCTATAGGACAGGACACTGGGGCAGCTGCTGGCATAGAAGCTGGCAGCCCCTGGAAGGCAGGCCGGGGAGCACACTGTGTGATTTACCAAGCTGACAGGAGTGGTTGCTCACCTAGGGTGAGCACACAGCCCTTGACTGAAAACCCGTACCTGCTTGTGGGTCTACCTGTCACAGCAAACACCTGGACTCCACACAGGGAAATTTATATGGAGAAATACCATGCCGTTGTGGCAAAGGACAGGGCATCTACCGTGCCTGGGAGTATGGGCATGGTGGCTCACGCCTTTAATCCCAGCTACTTCAGAGATGGAGGTCAGGAGGTTCTTGGTTTGAGATCCACCCAGGCACAAAGTGCACAGTTGGATGAAAACTCCATATCAAAACAAAGAGGCTGGGTATGGTGGTGTGCCACTGTCATCTGAGCTACACAGAAGGCATATCTGGAAGCATGGTAGTCTGAGGCCAATCCCTGGGGGCCTACTTGAAAAATAAGCAGAAAAAGACAAGGAGGAAGAGGAGGAGAAAAGAAAAAAAGTGTGGGAGTGGGGGTGGGGCGGCAGATGCAAGACACGGGCAGGACTCCCCAGCTTCGAACCTTGCAGGATCTGACCCCCAAATGCAACAGCTCCACCAGTACAGGGAACAGAATGGATGGCTCAACCGGAACAGAAAGAGCGAGAGAAAGAGCAGCCTTGGGGGTGAGCCGAGAAAACAAGTGGGGACAGGAGAGGGCCCAATTCCCCCATGGGCGAGAGAGAGGGGGCTAGGGAGGGCCTACCTGGACCAGACACACCCAGGTCCCACTGCAGGCCACGGGCATCTCTTCGCACAGGAGAGACTCCCTGAAAAAGAAGCGTGGGTACCCCTGGGAGTGTGCAAGCCCCTTTCCCAGCCTGCACCCCCGCCACTGCACCCTCAAATAGTCTGGGGACTGCTCCCCACCTGGCTCTCAGGACATCTGGCCTCCGTGCTGCCCCCTGGTGGTGGCTGCAGCCCTGGCTGTCTCTTCCTGACAGTGGGTCCTCCCCCGCACCACCTCACGCCCACAACCAGTGCCACTCATGCTCTGTAACACCCTCACCCCAGTCACACCCGGGGTCCAGCCCCTAGCGGCCATGTCAAGAGCGGCCCCGGGCCCCGTCCCTTCACGGGGACAGCAGAGGCTGACCTGTCCGAGGGCCCCGAGGGCTGCCAGCGCACAGGGCTGGGTGACAGCCAGCCTGGAGTCCACCAAGCCGCCCAGGGGCGGCTCCTTTCCCGGGATGCTATTATAGTAGTTGTGTTCTGAAGACTCTTCCTCGTCCCCCCAAGCTGACTCCTCCAGCCCGGTCAGCCTGGGGAGACAGAACAAGGCATCAGGGGTGAGGACACTCAAGTCCCCATCTGGTTCTCCACCCGTCAGTATTACCTGCTCCCCGAGAAAATGTCAATGACAACACCTGGGCTAGCTGGGTGCTGTGGCTCACGCCTGTAATCTCAGAAGGCTGAGATCTGAGGGGCAAAATTTGAAGCTAGCCTGGGCTAAAAAGTCCATGGGACATGTGTGTGTGTGTGTTCCAATACTGGGGCTTGAACTCATGGCCTCGGCATTGCCCCTTAGCTTTCCCCCTCAAGGCTAGAACCCTATCACTTGAGTCATACATACACTTCTTTTTGCTGGTTAACTGGAGATAAGAGTCTTGAAGCCCGGGTTGGTTTTGAATCTCACTGCTCAGATCTCAGGCTCCTGAGTAACTGAGATTACAGGTATGAGCCACCAGCACCTGGCTCACCAAGAACCACACAGGGGACAAGCAGCAGGAGCCACCACCAGCAAGGGAAACCCAGGGACGCCCCCAGCTCACGTGAGGGGACAGACATGCCCATGCTGCCCTGGATGCCAACCTCACCACAAACAACCTCCAATGCCCACCCCATAAATTAATGAAGTTATGTTCTTTTCCTTTTGGCAGCACTGAGGTTTGAACTCAGGACCTTGCACTTGCCACACAAGTGCTCTATCATGTAAACTATACCTCCAGCCCTTTTTTGGCTTTTCTTTTTCAGATAAGAGTCTCATGTTTTTGTCCCAAATGGCCTCAGACCATGGTCCTCCTATTTATACCTCCTGAATAGTTGGAATTATACCACCATTCTCATCTGGTTGATGAGATGGGGTCTCAATAACTTCTGATGGTCACAAATTACGATCCTCTCGATTTCTGTCTCCTGAATGGCTTGAATTACAGGCAGGTGCCACCACCCCTGTCTACAGTCTGAACTTCTGAGAGGCACAAGTGTTCCAGGATCAAATCTACCTGCCATCTGTGCTTGCTCAGCTATAAGCTATAAAGGTATGTTCCCTGATTTCAAATCTTAAAACTTCAAATGGCTGAGAAAAAGCCCAAAGGATAATATTCTTTGTTGTTGTTGCAGCATGGGTAAAGTTATCTGAAATTTAAATTTCTGTGTCTATAAATAAAGTTCTGCGGGCACCCGGCCATGTGTATCCATTTATGTACATTTTGAGACGAACTGGACACAATTTGCCCTTGAGGTTGGTGACGCTCACTGTCTGGTCCCAGAGCAGCAACAGCCAGGGCTGAGCTCTGGAACTCATCTGGGAGGGAAGGAAGGAGAAAGGGAGGAAAAGATAGAGGGAGGGACTGGACGCTGGTGGCTCACACCCAGAATCCTAGCTACTCAGGAGGCTGAGATCTGAGGATCACAGTTCAAAGCCAGCCTAGGCAGAAAAATCACTGAAACTCTTATCTCCGATGAACCACCAAGAAAACCAGAAGTGGAGCTATGGCTCAAAGTGATGGAGTGCTAGCCTTGAGCAAAATTGCTCAGGATCAGGCTCTGAGTTCAAGCCCTACAACCATTGGGGCAGGGGAGGGGAGAAATGGAAGGAGGGAAGGTGGGAGAGAGGGAGGGGAAGAAGGTGGGGTCCTCCCGTGGGTGATATTCTCAGAACCCAAGAGGGACAGATAGAGCCAGGCCCATGGGTGAAAGGCAGAGCTGGCCACCTGGCCCAGCAGAGTCCTGTGTATTTACCTTTCGGGGGGCACAATGGCCTTGGGGGGGCTGTGCAGATACTGCTTGAAGCGCAGCTCAAAGGCTTGGCCCACGGTGCTGATGACACTCTGGGCGAGGCCCTCACAGCACTCGAGGATGTGACAGGCTGGAGGGACAGGGACAGGGGTCACCGTGACCGTTGTACGGCATCGCCCCCTCCCTGGCTATTGCCTGGGCCCTCAGCTCTGACCTCCCGCCATGGCTCACCTCTCTGGTTAATAGGGTCCTTGGCGACATAGGCCACGTAATCCGCCATGTCCTGGGGAAGAGGGCCGGTGGGAGGGTCAGCGGGGTGGGGCCACCGTCCGGGTCCTGCTCCCCAGCCGTGGGAAGGGTGGGGGTCACGGGCAGAGCAGGTGGGGTCTGGGGAAGGCGAGATGGTCTCGAGGCTGGAAGGGCAGCGGGCACAGGGCCTCACCCCCTCCCCAGTCCCTGCCCAGCCTTACCGTGTCACCGCCCGACGCGAAGGAGATAGACTGCATGTGGTGGCTGGCGATGACCTGGGACGGCAGGGGGCACTCGAGGTCACAGGCGGGCAGGGCGGGAGAGCGGGGAGAGGGGACAGGAGGAATAGACCAGGCTGCCGCAGGGGGCGGGAGAATGGCTGGGGCAGGGATGTGGGGCTGAAGATGCTCCCCAACTGGTACCCACCACAGCTGTCCCACAAGAACACCAAACCCCTGGGGCCTAAGGAGGGTGTGACAAGACTGGGTCACACAGCCACATGTGTAGCAGGACAGACCACCCACTGGAGACACCTTCATGTGTGCACCTGCCTGAACTCACAGAGACAGAGACACAGTGACACCCCAACACACACACACACACACACACATACACACACACACACAGAGGCAGGTGCACAGACACACAAACATTCAAGTGAACACATTCACAGATGAGCACACATACACACAGATACACACACACATTCCAGGCTCCCATCTCCTGGCAGTGGCATCTGCGTGCTCATTTGCATGCTCGTTTGCATACCAATTTGTATTTGTTGGCATACCCCCACTTCATCTGCCACCTGTCTCTGGAGTCCCTACACAGTCCTTTGGAAGGACTGGGCCGGCCTTCTCCCCACAAAACAGCTATTAATCAGCTCTGTTACCTTTGAGGCTCTCCAGGGCCCAATACCCCTGTTGAGAACCCTAAGGGGCCACAGAGATCCTTGGTGGCCCGTTTGCAGCACTGTGGGTCAGTGCCATTCATGCTGCGCCCCACAGCAACCTCCAGCATAGTCCATCATGCCGCAGCTGTGCCCGGAGCCTGGCCTCTCCGCCTAGTATCTAATGCCAGCCTTCACACTGTCTATGTCTCACACATCCAGAACCAGCCTGCTGAGCCCCAGCCCCTCCCTACAGTCCCCGCTGCCCTCTTCAGCTGCCCCTCCTGGCTTTCACTTCAGGCCTCCACTGGGAGCCCGCTCCTTCACTCTTAGTACCAGCCTCCCTACCTCCAGGAAGCCCCGGGATATCCTTCTGAGCGATTGGGAAGCTGCAGTAGCCTTTACTGTAGCACATCTCTTCTCCAGCCTAATACACAGCAGCACCCACAGCCTTTCATGTGCGCAGGCAAGACGCCAGCCTCCCAAACTCCACTCCCTACACAGGCAGTACGGTCCAGCTAAGAAACTCCCCACAGGCCCTCAAGGCCCAGAGCTCACTCACTGACCCCCAGTGGCTCCCGTGGCAATGTGCCTTATCAGCTTCTCAGGGAGACAGGACTCAGCCCATGACTACCGAGTCCTCCCACAGATGGGGCAAAACAAAGCACATTTCTGACAGGAATCTGTGGGCTGATCAAAGCTCAGCCTCAGGGTGTCTGGTGTGGTTGTATATGCCCTCTTGTGCCCCAGCCTTGAGACCTGGGATGGCAAGAGGTCAGGGATGTGCACAGACCCATCAGCCTCCAGCTGAATGCATGCTCACTACCTTGCAGCTGCAGTAGGAACTGTTTTGTTATGCACCCCTACTTCACTAGCTGATACAATTCCATTGGCTGTACCACTGGCCTTGTCCATCAACTGTCCCTGCTCCTGCTCTCAGAACAGACGACAAACTCCTCTCCATGACCCAGGCTGACCTCTTCCATGAGAAACGCCCCCTCCTCGTCAGTGTGGTCTCCACTGGCCTACCAATGCTCTCAGAACTGATCATTATTCCCTTATTCAATTGCCATTTTTCTATTTCTCCCACAAGAGACTGGAAGCCTGTCTCCCTCCCATCCCCCACCCCACGCCAACACTGTGGATACTAGGCCAGGTCCTGAGCACTGCATGAAGCTGGGCAGTACCCCTGGCTTCCACCCACCTCAGACCAGGAGATTCTTCCCTGAGTCCTGACAGGGTGGACAGACAGGGCCTGGTGTCCTCTTAGCTCTAAAAGGGGCTCTCAGAACATGTTGATGGTGCCAGGCGCCAATGATTCATGTCTCTGATCCTAGCTACTCAGAAAGCTGAGATCTAAGAATTGAGGTTCAAAGCCAGCCCATGCAGAAAAGCCTGTGAGACGCTTATGTCCAACTGACCAGCAAAAAGCTGGAAGTGGAAATGTGACTCAAATGGTAGAACACTAACCTTGAGTAAAACAGCTAAGCTAGAATGGAAGGCCCTTTAATCCTCAGTACTAGTGTGCACCCACAAGTGCATGCGCACACACATACAGAACAAGTCTGTGGTTGATGTCATATGCTCTATAAAGCCTGCACCTACCCGGGCTCCACTTGGGTGTGACATACTTCTACAGGTCAGGCAAGTCACAGGGTTAGATGAGCGCTAAGGGAGGGGGTAGGAGTGTGGCCAAGGGTGGGGCGGGGCTGAGGACAGAACTGGTTGGGGCGGGGATAGGGGCGTGGCTTGGGCGGGGCCAGGTTGAGGGCGTGGCTAAGGGGGAGTGAGGCAGGGCTGGGGCGGGGCCAGGCTAAGGACTGGCTTGAGGGCGTGGCTAAGGGGAGTGAGGCGGGGCGGGGCCGGGGAGGGGCCAAGGGCGAGCCACACCCACCTGGCGCGTGGCTGGCACGGAAAGGTTGAGTCCATCCACCGATATGTTAACAGAAATGCTCATGCCGGCGAAGCGCAGGTTGCTCTTGCCCAGGATGGAAGTCAGTGCCTTGTTGGGGGCCTAGGAGAGGGGGACACACAGTGAGAGGCTTGTGTGGGGTACAACTTGGCCTGAAGCCACAAGGGGCTCCTGGGGGGGCCACGCTGCCCCCCACCATGATCTCAGGAGGCACCCACCAGCCCGGCCTCAGGCCTCACCCACCTTCTTCTTCCAGGAGCCCCTGATGCCGGGCACGGCCTCGTGGAGCCGATTGATGGCTTCCCTGCAGTTGAAGGGGAGAGGCTCAGACAGGAAGGGACTGGGGGGGGGGGCACAGGGAAGAGGCAGGAGCTCAGGAGGGAGCTGGGGTCTAAAGGGAAGAAGGATAGGGAAGAAATGGGTTCCGACATGGGGGTGCCATCTGGCGGGGACAGCAGGGACACTAGCCCTACTTTTAGCCCCCAACCTCAGCTCCTGACACCCTGGCTCCCTTTACCTTCTCTGTGGCTGTGGATCCCTGAGAGAGGGTCAGGCTCAGGGAGCCAGGCACCACAAATAGAGGTCCTGGGCTCTGAGCCTCCCTGAGAGGTCAGGAACCAACCTCTTTAGGACAGGAAACAGAAAAGCTGCTGGTCCCTGGGAGGCAGGATCTGTTCAGAATGATAGGGTCACAGGAGGGGAGGGGGGTGGCCACAAAACAGGCCCTCAGAGATGTAGGTGTAATGAGCTACTCAGGAGGCTGAGATCTGAGGATTAGAGTTTGAAGCCGCCCTGGGCAGGAAAATCCAGACTCCTTATCTCCAATTAACCACTAAAAAAAGCTAGAAGTGGAGCTGTGGCTCAAGTGGTACAGCACTAGCCATCAGCGAAAGTGCTAATGGACAGTGCCCAGGCCCTAAATTCAAGCCCAGTGGCGCAGAGAGGGGGGGGGGGGTCAGCCAGGTACGGTGGCTCATGCCTGTAATCCTAGCTACTCAGGAGGCTGAGATCTGAAGATTGCAGTTCACAGCCAGCCAGGGCAGGGAAGTCTATGAGGCTCTGATCTCCAATTAATCACCAGAAAACCAGAAGTGGTGCTATGGCTCAAGTGGTAGAGCGCTAGCCTTGAGCTGAAGAGTGCAGAGAGAACGCGAAGGCCCAAAGTTCAAGCCCCACACTGACTAAATAACTAAATAAGTAGAAACAGTGTCAGAAATGACCCACCCAGGGGCTGGCAATGTGGCTTTGTGGCAGAGTGCTTGCCTAGCATGCATGAAGCCCTGGGTTCAATTCCTCAGTACCACATACACAGAAAAAGCCAGAAGTGGTGCTGTGGCTCAAGTGGTAGAGTACTAACCTTGAACAAAAAGCTCAGGGACAGTGGCCAGGCCCTGAGTTTAAGTCCCAGGACTAGCACACACAAAAAAAAAATGCAAGAGAGAGAGAGAGGGAGGAAGGAAGGAAGGAAGAAAAAAAAAAAAGACCCACCCAAGACTGGGGCCAGAGATGGGGCAGCCACTGAGGAAGCAATCCATGCTTCCACACAAGGGTAAAACCTATCACCCTATAACCCAGAAATTCCTCTCCTAGGGGGTCTGCCCAAAATAAGACACCTACACTAAGATTTAGTGTGTGGCTTCACTGACAGGACACATCCAGAACAGGTGGATCAAGACACAAGCAGTGGATTTGTGGCGGGAGAGGGAGGGAAGTCAGGGTAACTGAATGGGATTTCCTTTGGAGTGATGGAATGTTCTAGAACTTCTAGGCAGAAGTTGTGCAACTTTATGGAAATACTTAAAACCATCATTTTGCCAGGCACCAGTGGCTCACATCTTTAACCCTAGCTGAAGGTTGCAGGGAATCTTCAGCCCAGCCAAGGAAGTCTGTGAGACTTAACTCCCCCAAAAAAGTTGGAAGTGGAACTGTAGCTCAATTGGTAGAGTGCTAGCCTTAAGGACAAAAGCTCAAGAATAGTACCCAGGCCCTGAGTTCAAGCCCCAGCACTTGCCAAAAAAAAAAAAAAAAGTCATCATATTATACAGTCTATAGAGATTGAGCTATTAAGAAAATTGATGCCAAGCCAGGCACTGGTTGCTCACGTCTGTAATCCTAGACACTCAGGAGACTGAGATCTGAGAATCTTGGTTCAAAACCAGCCTGGGAAGGAAAGTCGTGAGACTCTTATCTCCAATTAACCACTAAAACACCAGAAGTGGTGATGTGGGTAGGGTGCTAGCCTTAAGCAAAAGAGCTCAGGGGCAGTGCCCAGGTCCTGAGTTCAAGCCCCATGGGGAAAGAGAAAGAAAGAAAGCAAGAAAGAAGAAAGAAAAAGATAGAGGGGGGCTGGGAAGGTGGCTCAGTGGTAGAGCGCTTGCATTGCATGCCTGAGGCCCTGGGTTCGATTCCTCAGCACCACATAAGCAAAAAGGAAAAAAAAAGCCGGAAGTGGCACTGTGGCTCAAGTGGTGGAGTGCTAGCCTTGAGCTGAAGAGCTGAGGGACAGCGCCCAGGCCCAGAGTTCAGGCTCTATGACCAGACCCAAAAAGAGAGAGAGAGAGAGAGAGAGAGTTGATCCCAATGAAGTAATTTTTTAAACCCAGAACAAGTGCAATCTATGAATTCCCAACGAAAGAGGTGTGGATCCCGTTCTGCAAGGCCTGGCTATGCTTCCCCCCCTCACAGTTCCACCCCAGGCAGCTCGGAGCACTGAGCTCCACCTGCCTCTCTGCATCCCCTCCAGGATAACCCTGGCAGTCACGGAAAACAAGCCAGCCTCTGTGGCTCCCAGCTCCCTCCCCAAGTCACACCAGGTTCTGCAAGGCAGGCAGCTGCTCCATCCTTCAGAGGGAAACCGAGGCTGGGAAGGGAGGGTAATTACCACGCACAGTAGATGAGGAGAGAGAAGAAAAAAATGCAGACACAGCCTGTGTCAAAGCCTGTGCTCGCCCTACATAGCAATGTCATCCGTCCACCCACCTGCCACCTGCACGAAGCTTCACCCCAGCTGGGTCTCACCTGGTCACCTGGGTCCGAGTGGTAAAATCCAGGGAGCGCATCGATCGAAGAACTTCAATGCATCCCATGTACTGAGGAGAGAGGAGAAAGTCAGCAGGAAGAGCCCCAACCCAAGAACCCACGGTGCTCCCCCTCCCCAAGGCCACCATAGGCCCATCCTCCCTCCCTGGACAATTCCAGCCTCTACCTCAGGGCCTTTGCATATGCAGTATCCACTGAGGCTCCATTCTCCCACCTGCTGGATCTCTCCCCATCCCAGCGCTCAACTACAAGGTCACCAGAGGCTCTGTGGTGGCCTTACTGTGGTTGTTCATATAACCACCAGCCACGTGGGCATGGCAGGCCGGAAGGACAGGGATGTGACAATCCAGTTCACTGGATCCAGGGACCAGGCACAAAGTCTGAAGGACAGTTTAGGACAGAGAGCTTCCAGCTGATAAATCAAACACGGTGGCTCACGCCTGTAAATCCCAGCTACTCGGGAAGCTGAGATCTGAGGATTTCAATTTGAAGTCAGCTCAGGGCAGGAAAACCCATGAAACTAAAGCCAGAAAGTGGAACTATGGCTCAAGTGGTAGAGTGCCAACTTTGAGCAGAAAAAGCTAAGGGACAGTACTCAGGCCCTGCGTTCAAGTCCTCATAGTAGCGCATGTGCACGCACACACACGCACACGCGCACAGGTGCACACGTGTGTGCACACACACACAAAACCATTCCTTGCAGACTCCTATTTTAACAACTATTTCTGCAGGAGGGTGATTCATGTCCCAGAGGGCAACAAGTAAGGTAGAACCTGACTGCCCTGGCGTTCTTCCAACCCCATGTGGCTGGTGGCTGGGAGCATGTGCAGCCATATGGCCTCCAGAACGCCCAGAATAGGCAAATACAGAAGCAGGAAGTGGACTCATGGGTGCCCAGGGCTGGTGAGACGGGGTGCTCATGGGGACAAGATCTCCTTTAGGATGATGGAATATTCTGAAAATAGCCCTTTATCTTGCTTCCTGTCTACCATGATGAGAATTGCACTGTTCTGCTACACCCTTCCCTGCTCTGATGAACAGATACTCATGAAACCGTAAGCCATAATAAAGAAAGAAAGAAAGAAAGAAAGAAAGAAAGAAAGAAAGAAAGAAAGAAAGAAAGAAAGAATTCTGCCTTAAAAGAAAAAAATAAAGTTCTTGAAGTAGAGGGTAGCAGTTACACAACTCTGCTCATGTACCAAATGCCACTGAATTGTATACTGGAAAGAGATTCGTGGCTATTTTTGTTTTTATGATTTTTAGTCATTTTCTTATTACGTGTGTGTGTGTGTGTGTGTGTGTGTGTGTGCGCGCGCGCGCGCGCACACCGTCCTGGGACTTGAACTCAAGGTCTTAAACACTTGCTTGCTTTTTTTGTTCAAGGCTGGAGCTCTACTGCTTGAGCCATAGCTTACTTCTGTCTTTTTTTGGTGGCTAATTGGAGATAAGACTCCTTCCCTAGCTGGTTTTGAACTGTGATCCTCAGATCTCAGCCCCCTGAGTAGCTAGGATGACAGGCGTGAGCCACCAACACTTGATTAATTAATTAATTAATTATTTATTTTTTGGTGTCCGGTTGTGGGGCCTGAACTCTGGGCCTGGGTGCTGTCCCTCAGGTCCTCAGCTCAAGGCTAGCGCTCTACCACTTGAGCCACAGTGCCACTTCCAGCTTTTGTCTTTTTGCTTATGTGGTGCTGAGGAATCGAACCCAGGGCCTCAGGCATGCAAGGCAAGCGCTCTACCACTGAGCCACCTTCCCAGCCCTTTATTTTTGAAATGGAATCTTGCTGGTTGCCTAGGCTGGTCCCCAACTCTTGAGGGTTCAAGTGATTGTCCTGCTTTAGTCTCCCAAGCATTAAGATGACAAGCATGTACTACTCATTAGGCTCAACTTGCTTTGTGATTTTGATCTCAGGGATTTTTGTTGTGGGGTGTGTGTGTGTGTGAATACTGTGGCTTGAACCAAGGCCTCAAACTCACTTGCCTTTTTCCTCAAGGCTGGAGATCTACCATTTGAGCCACAGCTCCCCTTCTGGCTTTTCTGGTAGTTAACTAAAGATAAAGAGTTTCATGAACTTTCCTTCCTGGATTGGCTTCAAACCAAAATCCTCAGATCTCAGCCTCCTGAGGGGCTAGGATTACAGGCACAAGCCACCACCCATGTAGAAACAAGTAGGTTTATGTATTTATATGACATCATTTCTAAGACAGTTTTAAGTAGCAAGGTGTAAGGCTGCAGGATAGCACGGGAGTGTTCCAGTGAGAGGGGGAGGAGGACCATGGGGTAGGAACACTCAGATTGAGCTTGCATGAGTGTAAGTGGACTGCAGGGCCCCATGCAGGGTCCCTGCCTCCAGACAGGACCTGGATGCTGATGGAGGATTGTGAAAACAGCCACATGCCACTCCCCTCTCAACGGCCCTCAGGTTGGCTGTGCAACCTCTTTTGCCAATGAGATGCCAGAGAACGTCATACATCCTGGGAGGACATCTCGCCTGGCTGTGCCCCTTGCTGCACCCGGGCACCTTGCGACCACACCAGGCTGCCAGGCTAGCCGCTGGATGACGAGATTCACACCAGCTGGCACCTTGCCACACAAGCAAGACTAGGGAGACCACTCAGCCTTTGCCAACTACAGAACCACAAGAAGCAAGTGTCTGTGTCTGTGTCTGCGCTTCCCTCCCAGGAATCCATGTGAGCAAAAGCTCACAGATGCAGGCAGTGACAACGAGGAGGAAAGGGCAGCACGTGAGGCCCAGGAAAGGAAACAGTAAGCACCAGGCAAGAGGCAGGAGCCAATGTGGTCTCCACCATAGCTCATGTGGAGGAGGTGGAACAGAGGAAGCAAGCAGCAAAGAGAGGAGCGGATGGGGGTGGGAGGCTAGAGGGGGAGGAGTTCCTTCTGAGAAAGCTGAAGAGCCATGGAAGAATTTCAGGAAGGGAGGGACCTGATTTACCTGTTGGATGGATGGATGGATGGATGGGCATATGGATGGATAAATGGATGACAGGTAGGTGGACAGAAGTGTGGATGGGTGGATGGATGAATAAGCAGATGGATTAGTGAATATATCATCAGATGGGCAGATGAAGAGTGAGTGGGTAAATGAATGAGTGGATAACAGGTGGATAAAGGGATGAATGTGTGGACAGATGGATGAATACATGCATAAATGGTAAGTGGGTGTACAGATGAATAAATGGTTGGATGAATAAATGATGGGTAGTTGGGTGGCTGGGTGGATGAGTGGACAGGTAGATGGATAAACGGATGAACGGATGTGTGGATGGATGGATAAGCAGATGGACGGGTGGATTAGTGAATGTTGAATGGAAAGATGGATAAGTGAGTGGCTAGATGAAATGGTGTATGAATGAGATGGATGGAAGGGTGGATGGACAGATGGATAAATGGATGAATCATGGGGGTAAATGGGTGAATGGATAGATTAATGGATGGATGAACTGGTAGATAAATGAATGGATAGATGAATGATGGTTGGATGGATGGATGGATGATGGTTGGGTGAATGGGCAGATTGATTGGATAGATGTATGGATGGGTGGAAGGATGGCTGATGGGGTAAATGGGTGAATGGATAGAGATTAATGGATGGATAGATCGGCAGATAGATGAAGGCCGGATAGATGAATGATAGGTGGGTATGTAGATGGATGGACAGATGGATGAATGGCTGGACAATGGGGGTGGATGGACAGATGGATGAATGGATAATGGGTGGGTAGATGGGTGTGTGGATGGATGGACAGTTAGATACATGAGCTCAGATGCACCAAATGCCAACCATGTCTCAGACAGGTAGTACTTCAAAGGGGCCTGTGGACCCTGCCCCAGACCTGGAGTAGACAGCCTTGGAGGGACCTGGGAACAGGCAGGTGCTAATGCCCCTGGTCTGCAAGCCACACTCCGCTCTCATTGGCTGAAACTTCTTTGGTGAGCCCTGTTTTCCCCACCACAGTGTAGGAGATACCTCTTACAAAAAGGAAGAGGAGGAAGCCAGGCGCTGGTGGCTCACGCCTGTAATCCTAGCTACTCAGGAGGCTGAGATCTGAGGATCGTGGTTCAAAGCCAGCCCGGGCAGGAAAGACTATGAGACTCCTATCTCCAATAAACCACCAGAAAACCGGAAGTGGCGCTGTAGCTCAAGTGGTAGAGCGCTCGCCTTGAGCTGAAGAGCTGAGGGACAGCGCCCAGGCCCAGAGTTCAAGCCCCACAACTGACAAAAAAAAAAACAACAAAAAGGAAGAGGAGGGAAAGGCAGTCTTTTCTTCCCATGGACATGCTGGGTCCCCAAAAGCAGTGTCTGGCGCTATGGCTGCCACTTTGTAACTAGGAGGGAAATCAAACCAGCCTGGTGGGGAGAGCCATTCAAAAAGACAAAAAGAAAGCCTAGGCACCAGTGGCTCAAGCCAGCCATTCTAGCTACTCAGGAGGCTGAGATCTGAGGATAACAGTTCAAAGCCAGTCCAGGCAGGAAAGTCTGTGAGACTCATCTTTACCAAAAAGCTGGAAGTGGAGGTGTGGGTCAAGTGGTAGTGGATCAGCTTTGAGTAGATAAAAATCAGGGAGAGCATCCTGCCTTGAGTTCAAGCCCCAGAACTGGCATGGAAGGAAAGAAGAAGGGGAGGAAGGGAGGAAGAGAGGAAGGGAGGAAGGGAGGGAGGGAAGGAAGGAAAGAGGGAGGGAAAACTCCCAAAAACCTCCCTGAGAGCATGGGCCACTTCTTTCTCTTGTTCTCCGCATCACCAGTACATGACAGTACACATATGTTAAATATTCTCTCCATTGATCAAAGCCTCACATTCATATTAACCCAAAACCCTGAACCCCAACTTGAGTATGTGAATTCTGGGGGTGACTTCCAATCCCAGCATCCCACACAGACCTGGTAGCCACAAGTTAGTCCTAAACCTCCAGGTTTGACTGGCCTTGGGAAGTGGCTCCATTCAAAGGAACACACTTCCACATCCAAGGTCAAAGCCAAGGAGAAAGGGATGGCCCATCACTTCCCCAGGGGGCAGCAAAGAAGTTTCCTAAACTAAACACTTGGCACAGCCGCAGTGGATGCTCACACTTGGAGAGGCGCAAGGGCAGCTCCAGGTCTGCGCAGGGTGCTTGCTCTCTGACCGTTCCAGGGAGCCTCCATGTCTGGGGGCTCCCCACCATCTTTCCTGGGTCTGGGGTTGAGCTCTCGTCCATTCCCACCTCTACATCGTTCCCTGAGTAAAACTTCCTCCTCTCCCTGGTAAAGACACCACATATTGCCTGTCATCCCTGACTACAGAGAAGGCTGAGATCTGAGGATCCTGGTTTCGGAGCCAGCCCAAGGCAGGAAAGTCCGTTGAGAGACTCTGATCTCCGGTGAACCGCCAAGAAGCCAGAAGTGGAGCTGTGGCTCCAGTGGTCGAGCGCTAGCCTTGAGCGCGGACCCGCTCAGGCACAGCGCCCTGGCCCTGAGTTCAAGCCCCAAGCCTGGCACAAAATATGACAAACCAGACATACACAAAAGCACGTGGGGAGCCCCGCCTGTGCTCGCCTGCTTGGATCCCGGGGTTCCAGCGCCCCGCCGGGCCGGGCCTGCGCGGGGAGGGGGGGGGCTTCTGGTTGGGGGTCCACCCGAGTCCTCTTTCTCTTGACTCTCCCTCTGGGAACCGCGCGTTGTGGGGGGGGGGTGTCCTTCACCTGCGCATGCGTGTCCCGCTCCCACCCGCCGCCCTCTCCCCGCCCCTCCGCGCGTGACGCCGTGGGAACCCGACCCCCCCCCCACACACACACTGGGGGCGGGGGGTGAGGGGGGCGGCTGTGGAGCGCGGGCTGCGCGTGGGGGTCCCGGGTGATGGGGAGAAGAGGAAAGGCGGGCGGTGGCCACCTGGATCTGGGGGTGCGGGACCCCGGGACTGGGGAGGGGGACCAAGCCGAGGGTCGCCCGGCCCGTCCTCCCCCCCTCCCCGCTGGCGCACTCACCCGCACGATGTAGGAGACCCCGGGCCCCAGGACCCTGGCGTCGGGGTGCAGCCAGCCGTGCGCCGGCTTGTGGATGAAGCCCCCCTTGCGCGCCCACTCGTCGGCGGCGTCGGGGGCCCCGGCCGCCCCGCGCGCCCCCCGCGGCCCGCGCGCCCCCGCCGCCCGGCAGCGGCCGAGCGCGGGCAGCGGGCAGGGCGCGGCGCAGCGGGGCTCGCAGGCGCCCAGCACGGCGGCGGCCAGGGCGGGGACCCCCGCGGGGGTCTCCGCGGGCTCGGGGTGCGGCTCGGGCGCCCCCGCCGCGCGCGCCGCCGCCGCCGCCGGGCCGCGGCCCAGGAACCCCGCGGGCGCCGCGAACTTCCACTGCGGCATGCGCGGCAGCAGCGCGCAGAAGGTGGTGGGCGCCTCGGGCTCGGGGGCCGCGGGCGGCGCGGGCGGCGCGCGCCCGCCCGGACCCTGCGTCATGGCCGCGGCCGCCGGACCGGACCGGACCGAGCCGACCCGGCGAGCGCCTGGCGCGGAGGCGGCCCCGGCGCCCGGCCGCCCCGCCCGCCCCGCCCGGTGATGTCACCGCCCCGCCCCGCGCGCAGCCGCGGGGGGCTGCGCCCCTGGGACCCGCGCGCCCGGCGGGGCCCCGCGTGGCCGAGGCCGGTGATCCGCCCCGCGGGGGAAGCGGGGAGGCTGCGAGCCCCGGACCCAGCGCGACACCCCCCCCCCCACTCTGCCCAAGTTCCCCCAAAGGGCCGGCTGGAACTGGGGCGGGGGAAGGGGGCGGACAGGGGAAACTGAGGCCGGGGGCGGGGCAGGGGGCGCGGTCGGAGGCGGAGAGAGCCCCCTAACCTTGAAGTCAGCCCTCGCCGGATCGCGCCCTGCTCTCTCCCGAATAAAGGAAACTGAGGCTTGGGGAGGGAGGATCGCGGCCCGGGCACACAGCGTGGGGGGGGGGACCAGCCAGCCAGGCCGAGCCTCGTCGGCCTCAGTTTCCCTGCCCTGTAAGCCTCTCCTCCCCCCTCGTTTCTGGGGTCCCCTCCCTGGCGCCCCCTCGTCTGAACCCCGAGGCCTCTGCGCCCCGGGCCCGCGGGAGCCCCGAGGGCCTCTGGGACGGGCGTCTCGGCTCCAACCCCGAGGAGAGAGCCTGCTCGGAGGGGCTGGGTGTCCCGGTCGCCGGGAGGTGTGGGGGGAGCAGCCTCCGGCCTCGGCGCCCCACCCAGGCCCAGCCGGTGCCGAGGAAACAAAGCCGGGGCCGGGCGGGGCGGCTGGAGGGAGGGACGGGGAGGAGCGGGAGCCAGATCGATAATCGGAGAAATGAGATCACGCCGAGCTGGGAGAGGAGAGGGGGAAGGGCGCCCTGCGCTTCGGCCGCGCAGCCAGCGGGGCCCAGTCACCAGCCAGGGCCCTGTGGCCGCGGCGTGGGGAAGGGGCAGCGGCCTGGTGCGGCCGGGAGCCCCCCGGGCTCCCCTCCCCTTCCCTCCCCTCCCCTCCCCTCCCCTCCCCTCCCCTCCCCTCCGCTCCCCCCTCCCCTCCAATTCCCTTCTCTTCTCTTTCTTCTCTTCCTGTGTCAGTACTAGGGCTTGAACTCAGGGCCTGAGCTCTATCCCTTAGCTTTATGGCTCAAGGCTGACCCTCTACCGCTTGAGTCACGGCTCCACTTTCTAGTTTATTTTTGCTGGTTAACTGGAGGTCAGAGTCTCCCGGACTTTCCTGCCTGGACTGGCTTTGGAAGGAAACCCTCAGATCTCAGCCCCCTGAGTAGCTGGGATTACAGGCGTGAGCCCTTGATGTCAGGACCCTCCAGTCTCTCCGAGCTCTGCTTCCTCTGGGTGAGCAGCACACCATCTGTCTTCTGAGATGCTATGGAGCCTGGAAGATCTTTATCAATATCCAGAATATGGTAAGCATTGTTGTGGGAAGGTACTAGAACACATCAGACTTGTATACATCCTTCAAAACCCAACTTGAACCCCCACACCTGGCTCCCAATCAAAGCCTTGGCTCTACCTCTGGCCTCCCCCCCCCCCCCCCAGCCCTCCTTGGGTCTCATCTGAACACCTCAGCAGCTGGAGAATGTGTGAGGGCAGTGTTCAGGTCGCCTTTCTGCGACACAGAGACAATGAAGTGCAGCCACGTGGTGACGCTGAGGGCACTGAGGAGAGATTTATTGGCAAGCAACTCTAGAAGGTGGAGGCGTGGGACAGGCAGGGGCCTCGGGGATGCGCCTCCAGCCAAGTCTGGCAGCCACATCCCCGTGAGCAGCTAGGGCCCAGCCAACCAAAGTTTGTGACAGAAACTGGAGCGAAGCTGGGGACCCAGCGGGGCCGAACACTGAGTTCTAGGACACCAGCCTGCGTCTCTGGCTGGGGAAAACAGACACTTCTTCCTGCCTGGCCCAGCCTGGCCTGGGGTGACCTGTGGGAAAGAAACTGGGGCTGTGGAAGGAGAATCCCTCACACCCCACACAGGGCCTCGGGTCAAGGCCCCCAGGGAAGATCAGGTGGCCAGGAAGGGCCTCAGAGGGAAGGACCTCAGACAGCAGAGAGGAGGAGGAAGGAGCCTCCTCTGTCCCCCACCCCCACCCCCCACCCCTGTCCCAGGACCCCCAGGAGGGAGCTGGGAGGGCCTGTGCCCTGCGGTTGTCAGGGTGTCATGTCCCCAGCCAGCGTGGCGGCCCTCTTGGAGTGGCGGATGCCCATCGTATATGCGGGAGCCCTGGTCTTGTTCAGGGTGACCTGCTCGGGGCTGTGGGTTCCAGGCCCCGGGGTGTCCGCCAAGGGCCGTGGTGCCCGGGGCCGCCCCAGCATGGTGAAGGCCGGCCGGCGGCGCTGGTAGGTGTTGGGGTCCGGGCTGTCGTACTGGCCAGGGCCTGGCATCTCGGCGGGATCCTGCGGGGGTCGCACTGGAGGGGTGCGGCCCCCCGCCGTGTAGCTGGGGCTGCTAGGCTTGACGAAGACCTGGGAGCCCCAGAGGGCCGGCATGGTGTAGGCATTGGGGGCGGGGGCCGTGGTGTCCAGCGGCTTGGGGCGCAGGCGGAAGCCCAGGGTGAAGGCTGGGGGGTTCCTCTGGCCGGCAGGAGGCACTTTCTCGGGGCTGTAGGCCCCTGGGCCTGGGGTCACCTCCAGCTCTGCGAGAATAGATGGAGAGTTGGCACAGGAGGGGGATCCTCGCCTGCTCCCCGCACCCGCTTCCTCCCGAGAGTGACTTCTCACCCCTCCAGCAGGCCCTGAGTGCAGCACCATGTGGGACCCATGGGGAGCAGGGCCTCCGAGCAGCTGAGAGACCCTGTAGCACCCAGCGAGCATGGCCGGGGGGAGACCGGGGAGTGCTGGGGGCAGGGAAAGCAGACTTAGGAAGGCAGAGTGAATGGGGAGCTAAGTGGGGGGAAGATAGGGGAGGCAGAGGGTGAAGGGGGTGGATGGACGGTAGATGGGTAGATAAAGGAGTAGGTAAGTAGATGATGGATGATGGGTGGGTGGATGAGTGGGTGAGTGCTAGGTGGGTGGATGGGAGATGAGTGGTGCATGGATGGGTAAGTGGGGGTGTGGATGGATGGATGGATGGAGGCATGGACAATGGATGGCTGGGTGAGTAGATGGATGGGTGGATGGTAGATGGGTGCGTGGGTGAATGGGAGGGTGGATGGATGGGTACATGGATGGATGGATAGATGGATGGGTGGGTGGCTGGGTGGATGGATAGATGGATGGGTGGGTGGATGGGTAGATGGATGAGTAGTTGGATGGATGGATGGATGTTCAGTGGATAGACAGTGGATAAATAGGTGGATGGAGGTTCAGATGGGTAGATGTAATGATGGATGGATGGATGTTGAATGGATAGATGGGTGTGTGGATGGATGGATTGATGGGTGGATGCATAGTTGGGTGGATGAAAGAATGGATGGAGGGATAAATTGGTGGATGGATGGATGGGTAGATGGATGGGTGGGTGATAGGTAGATGGATGGGTGGATGATGGGTAGATGGATGATGGGTGGGTAGATGGATGGACAGGTGGTGGATGAACAGATAGATGGATGGGTGGAGTATGGGTGGACAGGCAGGGATTATGGGTTGGTGGTGGGGAACCAGCAGGGGGGCTGGTTCTCTGTGGGAGGGTAGGGGGACACATGGAGGCTGAGCAGATGGTGGGTAGATGGAGGGGTTGCAGGGGGGGTCGGTCAGGTGCTGATGGTGGGGGGGACGGATGGGTCAGTGAGTGGATGGGTGGGACATGGGGGGTGCGCGGTCAGGAATGGCTGGGTCAGTGGGGGTGAGTACGTAGTCGCAGGCCAGCAGATGCAGAGGTGGGGTGGGGGGAGGATGGGTGTCTGTCCCTGGGGGCGGGACCAGCCTCTGCCCTCCAGCTCCCACGTGGCCGCGGTCATGGGGGTCCAGCCACTTTGCCCGTCAGATGCTCCCAGAGCTCTGTGGCCCCTCGTCTGAGCCCCTGGGTTTTGGGGGAGGGAGGAGGGACCCTCCCATGAGATGTGGAGTACATACTCACCCCGCGATTTGCCGCGGCCCTGTATGGAGTAGGCGGGAGGACAGATGCGGCCAAACCGGGTGACTTTGGGGTCCAAGAAGTAAACCGGCCCCGGACTGGTGTCCTGGAGAGGCACTGGGAAGAGGAGACCAGCGTCCCTCCAGATGATTCTGTACCCAGGCCAGGCCTGAGGTCCCAAGAGAGCTTGACTAGTGTCCCCCCACCCCCACCCCCACTGCGGGAGCTGCCACTACAGAGGTGCTCAGTGGGAAATGGGGGAGACAGCCTGGACTCCCCTATGGGGCTACGTGCAGGGTGGTAAGAATGACGCACAGGCTGAGTGTGGTGACTCACACCTGAAATCCCAGCGACTCAGGAGGCAGAACTCGGGAGACTTGCCGTTCAAAGCCAACTCAGGGCAAGAAGAGAGAGCCAGGCATCGGTGGCTCACGCCTGTCATCCTAGCTACTCAGGAGGCTGAGATCTGAGGATCACAGTTCCAAACTAGCCTGGGCAGGAAAGTCCGGGAGACTCTTATCTCCAATAAACCACCAGAAAACCAGAAGTGGCGCTGTGGCTCAAGTGGTAGAGCGCTCATCTTGAGCTGAAGAGCTCAGGGTCAGCGCCCAGGCCCAGAGTTCAAGCCCCACAACCGACAAAAACAAAGTTAGAGACACACACACACCATCTCCATCAACAAACCAGGTATAGTAGCACACCTCTGTCACCCTAGCTACCCAGGAGGCATAGGGGAGGCCTGGTCCAAGACCAGCCCTAGGCAAAAAAGTGAAACTTCATGGGGAAAACAAACCAACAGTGGGAGCAAAAAAACAGCCGGGGGCATGGCTTAAGTGGTAGAGCACCTGCCTAGCAAGCCTGAGGCCCTGAGTTCCGACCAAACAAAGAAAGTATAGATAAGATCAGGGTCATGGGGCCCCAGAAGCACACACAGCTTCTCTCTTTAGCCCCAGGGGGGCGTGTCTCCCAAGGACTGGGGGTGCCTGGGGGTCCCCCATCCTCAGCACATCCCCTGGGCGTCGGCCACACGCATGCAGAGCGGCCTCTGTCCCGCATTTCCCGGTCAGTCCGGAAGGCCAGGGAGCCGCTGGCATTTCCCCATGTTTCAGGAGTCTCTGTGGCTCTGGGATCTCTCCGGGAAGATAACCATGGCACCTGTCCCAGCCTGTCCTCCTGCCCCTCCCACCCTCTGCAGCAGCACTCCATGCCCCAGCCTCACCTCTGAGGCTCCTACCCAACTCCTACTCATCCTACACAGCCCAGATCTACCCACGCTACCCCCAGGCCTTCAGCAATAGATTTCCTTTCCCCCTTGTGCACAAGTCTTATCCCTCATCCGGGAGGTGTCCGGAGACCAGGATTTGAACCCAGATCCCTTCATCTTGCCAATGTCTCTAAGGGATGAATTCCTACTGCTAACCTTGTAACAACAAAGTTGTCACATTGCTAACATTGTACAGAGATGGAAACTGAGGCACGGAGCAGTGAAGCAACTTCCCCCAAAGCCAAGCAGGAAAGGGTCACAAAACACAGGTCTTAGCTAGGGTATACCCTTTCCCCTGTCACTCTCCTTTTTTGAGTCTTGGTACTAGGCCTTGAACTCAGGACCTGGGCGCTGTCCTAAAGTCTTTTTTTTTTTAAACTCAAGGCTGTCACTCTACCATTTGATCCACAGCTCCATTTCCAGCTTTTGGGTGGGCAATTGGAGATAAGAGTCTCACAGGCTTTCCTGCCTGGGCTGGCTTCAAACCCTGATCCTCAGGTCTCAGCTTCCTGAGCAGCTGGGATTACAGGCGTGAGCCACTGGGCCCGGCTTGGCATTCTCCTTATCAGGAAGCAAACAGGACCAGAGAGCACAGCAAGTGTGGGGTGTGCCCAGCCCTGCCTTCCTGCCTCATCCCCCTCCCCAGGGAGCCTGTATGTGAGGACTGGAGGCCCCCACAGGCTCCAGGAGCACCTGAAAGCTAGGACACCCCTCACCCCCCCCACCCCACCCCCGCCGCCGGCAGCCTTACCTTCACTGGGCCTACGAGTGAGCGAGTAAGCAGGACTGGCTGTCTTGGTGCAGTCATGGTTGATGTAGCCCACGGTGGATGGAAGGACATACAAGCCAGGCCCAGAGCCTAGGACCCAGAACCCAAGTCAAGGCTGGGAACCCCAAGACCAGGACAAGCCAGGGGCAGGAGGGGGGCACCCAGGTACGACTCCATCTCCAATCACACAGTGGGACAGGGCTGGGGACCTTACAGAGCATTTCAGGATGAGGAAGAGGCTGTGCAAAGGCCCTGGGGCAGGGGTGAGAACAGAGCCTGGACCATGACCGGTGGGGCTGGGGGGGGGGGGGTTTGTCAGGGAATTGAGGCCAGAGGCAGAGAGAGAGAGAAAGTATCCCAAGTGGGGAAACTGAGGCCAGGCAACAGAGACTCTGGCCCAGGTGAAGAGCCAGGCTCCTGTCTCCTGCCCAGCTCCAGATCATTGCAGGGACCCCCCAATAGGGCACAATAATGGTTCTCCTCCATCTATCTCTCTATTCCCACTCCCCCCCCCCCCCCCAGCCAGGCTAGGCCAGCACGCACCGTTCTCCAGTGTGGCCATTCCACAGGTCTTCCTCAGACCCGTCTCTGGGATGTGGCCCTCAGCCACGCGCCGGGCCAGGGGCACCGTGGCCAGACGCGTGGCAGGGTCGCAGCTGAGGGTCCCCATGGTGAGACCCTGGAGCCGGCTCCTCTGTCCGGCCACTCTGGCACCTCAGGCCGGACACTGCCCTCGATCGGAGCTTGGCAGAGGTCTGGCCCTCACCACACCCTTGCATCAACCATACAGACAGCTCCTTGTCCCCCGGCCACGGAGCGCGGGGCCCCGGGGCCCGAGCCAGGCTGCTCGGCCGGACGCTGGCCTGGAAGCGGAGCTGAGATCGAGTGTCACCAGGCCTGGCTGCGTGGTCCAGGAAGGAATCCGGTGTCAGCAGAGCAGGTCCCCAGGGAGCCAGCCAAGCTGGGTGGCCAAGGCCAAGCCAGGCCCCAGGGAGCCCGGCTATAAACAAGACACCCACAGCGGCCGCAGGGAAGGCACAGCACGCTCACCGCTCAGCCCCCAAGCCTCTTCCCTTCCATTCCTTCCTTCCTTCCTTCAGGCCACACAGGCCTTCTAAGCAGCTACCATGTGCCAGGCTCTGATGGAGGCCTGGGACAGGACAGGTGCAGACAGGTAAAGGACTGGCATCCCAGGAAGAGGAGACACCAAAGAAAACATAGCCGGGCGCCAGTGGCTCACCCCGTCATCCTAGCTACTCAGGAGGCTGAGAGCTGAGGATCGAGGTTCAAAGCCAGCCTGGGCAGGAAAGTCCGTGAGACTCTTTATCTCCAATAAACCACTTCATTAACCACTTTTATCTCCAATTAACCACTTAAGTGGAGTTGTGGTTCAAGTGGTAGAGTGCTAGCATTGAGGGGAAAAAAACAAAAAACAAAACTCAAAAACAGTGCCCAAGACATGAATGGAAGGCCCATGGAATGGGACAAATAAATAAATATATCAGGAGGAGTGTGGACCAGTATCGTTAGTATAAGAGGAAATCAACTGCCTTCACCCCCCAACACACACACACGCACACACACGCACACACACACACACACGCACACACACACACGCATTCCTGCTTCCTTTTAGAATGGAATACGGTTTTGTTTTTGTTTTTTAATTGTATGTGTCAGTCCTGGGGTTTGAACTCAAGGTCTGGGTGCTATCCCTAATCATTTTTTTTGGGGGGGGCCCAGTCGTGGGGCCTGAACTCTGGGCCTGGGCGCTGTCCCTCAGCTCTTCAGCTCAAGGCTAGCGCTCTACTACTTGAGCCACAGCGCCACTTCCGGCTTTTTTTTTTCTGCTTATGTGGTGCTGAGGAATCGAACCCAGGGCCTCACGAATGCAAGGCAAGCGCTCTACCACTGAGCCACCTTCCCAGCCCCTACTTCTGGGGTGTTTTTTTTTTGTTTTTGGTAGTTAATTAGAGATAAGAGTCTCACCAATGTTCCCACCTGGGCTGGCTCCGGACAGTGATCCTTCTATCTCAGCCACCTGAGTAGCTGGGATTATAGGTGTGAGCCACACACAGTGTCCAGTCCTAATGCAGGTGTTAGGTGACATTTGCCAGCTCAGCCCTCTGGCGATACTAAGATTCTCCAAGCTCTCAAGTGTATGCAGACCCTGCACGTCCCTGTCCCCATCCCCCCGTACCCCCTCCGCTCCCTGTCAGCTCTGGGCATGACCTCTGCCTCAGCTTCCACCCCTGCACCTGGGGGGACTCTGTCAGCCCTAGTAACTCGCCCCCCAGTTGCCAACCTTCCTGCTGAGTCCACTGAATCTTCTCAATTCATCTTTTATCTTTTTGGTGGTGCTGGGGTTTGAACTCAGGACCTTGATCTTGCTAGACAGGCTTCTAGCCATTCTTTGCCTTATTTTTGTTTCAAATAGAGTCGCATGTTTATGCCCCACATACCCAGACCCACGAGCCTCTCATGTACCCTTCCTGTGACACAGGCATGACAGATGTGTACCACCATACCCAACCTTGTATCCATTCAGAAAGGGGTCTTGAGACTTTTCATTATCTAGGCTGGCCTAGAACCTCAACTCTCCAGATCCCAGCTTCCTGAGAGTTGCTAGGATTGCAGGCATGAGCCCTCAGAGCCATCCGTACACCCTTTCCAGCCTGTGTGGCTGAAGCACAGGGAGAAGAGGGAGAAGGAGGAAGGCTGTGGGGAGAATTTGGAGGGAGCCAGGGAAGATGATGGTCCTGGCAAGGGACCCAATAGGCTGTGCTCACAGGTGCCCTCTGGTGGTGTCTAGCAGAACAGACCCTGAGCGGTGTCCTGAGACCAGGACCAACCACATGTAGGTCCCACAGCAAGTAATGGAAAAAGATGATGCCAAGGAAAGAGGAGGAGGAGGAAGAGGAGGTGATGGTTTTGTTGTGCTGGTCCTGAGGCTTGAACTTAGAGCCTAGGTAGGCATTGTCCCTAATTTTTTTTTCTTGTTATTGGTTGTGGGACTTGAACTTGGCGTCTGGGTACTGTCTCTGAGTTCTTTCGCTCAAGGCTAGCACTTTCAAGCTTAAGCCACAGCCGGGCGCTGGTGGCTCACGCCTGTAATCCTAGCTACTCAGGAGGCTGAGATCTGAGGATCGCGGTTCAAAGCCAGCCCGGGCAGGAGAGACCGTGAGACTCCTATCTCCAATAAACCACCAGAAAGCCGGAAGTGGCGCTGTAGCTCAAGTGGTAGAGTGCTCGCCTTGAGCTGAAGAGCTGAGGGACCTACAGCACCCAGGCCCAGAGAGTTCAAGCCCCATGACCGACAAAAAAAAAGAAAAAACTTAAGCCATAATGCCACTTCTGGCTTTCTGATGGTTCATTGGAGATAAGAGTCTCATGGACTTTCCTGCCTGGGCTGGCTTTGAACCATGATCCTCAGATCTGAGCCTCCTGAGTAGCTAGGATGACAGGAGTAAGCCACCAGCATCCGGCCAATGATAGTATTTCTTATGTACTTTATGTGTGCAAACCGTATGTTTCTTGCTTTAAGACACTGAAAGTTTGGCAAAGTTGTCGGAAGTCAGTGTCTCACGCCTGTAGGCTGAGATCAGGGGATCAAAGTTGGAGGCAGAAAAGTGTGGAGATTGTCTTCAGTTAACCAGCAAAAAGAGGGGCTGGAGGCATGGCCCAAGTGGTACAGCACAACCCATAAGCAAGTCAGCCAAAAGAAAATGCAAAGCCCTGAGATCAAGTTCCAACACAGGCAAATGAATAAAATAATAAGAGGTTTGTCAAACCTGCTTGTGCCCCAGGATTTGTTTCTGCCTTGGTGCCCTCTGCTGGGAGAGTGTATTTGTGGTTGATGTAACCAATCACCGACTGATTTAAAACAACATAGGTTTAGCTGGGCATCCATGGCTCATGCCTGTAATATTATAATATGTGAACACACAAAGCATAACACATGTGTATGCACACACCGATGCACATGTCCATGCACACAGGAACCACACATGGGTGTGCAGAACACACAGGCACCCGCAGATGCAGGAGCTGCAGTGCAGGACCCCTGCATTCTGACATTTAGACTCGGCCTGCTCAGCAGGTGTGCACAAAGACACCATCTACAGAACAGACGTATGTATGCAGCCGTGCTGCCGAGCCCAGTTCCCTGTCTGTCTGTACTCAGGGGTCTGAACTCAGGGCCTTATGTTCATTTGCTGGTTTGGCTGATGCTCCATCATTTGAGCCATACCTCCAGCCTGGCTTTTTGCTAGTTCGTTTGGAAATGGAATCACACAGACTTTTCTACTCAGGCTGACTTTGAACCACAGCCTCCTGAGTAGCTAGGATTACAGAGGTGTGTGTGTGTGTGTGTATGTGTGCGCTTGCGCGCGCGCACACACACGCACACACACTTGTACCCAACAAAGTTTGATGTCCAATGTGGTAGGCAAATGTTTTGGCTTTCTTTGTTTGAGTTTGTTTTTCAGATCAAGTCTCGCACTTTTGCCCAAGGTCATGCCTTGGATCTTTTTCACCTCCAGAGTAGCTGGGACTCCAGGTCACCATGCCCTGCTCCATCTTTTTTTAAAATAATCCGTCTGGTGGGTCATAAGCAAAGATGCCAGCACAGTAAGGAGGTATATCCCAGGAGACTGGGTTTCTTGGGTGACCTGTTGTTTCCTGTGTCCCTGGCACGTGGTGGCTGTGAGACTGGTAGAGGCCACGGCTTTGTGGGTGACGCCTCCTGCACCCTGTGCCAGGGCACACTGTGTCACAGCTATCTCCCTGGAGACCAGGCCCCTTTGTGCTCTATCCGTACCGGGCGCTCTGACTCAGACTCACGCGGCTCTGTGGCTGCCTGCCCCTTTTGTCCCCTGGGGACTCGAACAAGGGACACTTGTCCTTCCCCTGAGGACACGGAGAACTTGCTGGGCTCCCAGTTCTCTCCTCTCTCCAGAAAGGGCTGTTGTCCCTGCAGGTCAGTGAGGACCAGCGCAAGGCTGGCTCATGATCTTCTGGGAGTCTAAACTCAAGCCCAGGATCCCCCATCCACAGGAAGGGGCTGTGTGCAGGGAGCTGGAGAAGAATGCCAGCAGGCTCTCCTCTGTGTGTGTGTGTGTGTGTGTGGTGTGTGTGTGTGTGTGTGTGTGTGTGTGTGTGTGTGCCAGCCATAGGTCTTGAACTCAGGGCATGGGGCCTGTCCTTGAGTGTTTTTGCTAAAGGCTAGCACTCTGTCCCTAGAGCCACAGAGCCACTTCTGGTTTTTTAGCAGTTAACTGGAGGTAAGAGTCTCACAGGAACTTTTCTGCCTGGGCTGGCTTCAAACCAAGATCCTCAGATCTCAGCCTCCTGAATAGCTGGGATTACAGGCATGAGCTACTGGCCAGAGATTCTTATCTCCAATAAACCACCTAAAAAAGGGAAGTGGTGTTATGATTCGAGTGGTAGAGCGCTAGCCTTGAGCTGAATTGCTGAGGGACAGCGCCCAGGCCCAGAGTTCAAGCCCCACGACCAGAAAAAAAGAAAAAAAAAGCTGAAGCCACTGGCCGTCTGGCTCCTGCCGGTCTTTGCTCTCTCCATCTATCTGCCTGCCCAGTTTCACCCCCATTTCTGCTCTGTGTGTTCACACCATAGGGATGGACACACACTTGGCTCCAGATCAGGACTTTG